GGGGGGGGCACTGTAGCCCTCCGCGCCATACAGAGTTGTCAAGGGGGAGGAGGGGGAGGGGTTGCTGACAGCTATGATTAAATGAGCACTTTGCTCGCTCACGTAGCGCGGCGCATGGGATGTTCAACATGCAGGCCGCGGAGCAGGTGCGGACGACTCTTTTCTTCACGCGTGCGTTGGGAGAGGACGAAGGGGACAGTGAGACGAGTGGGTGCAGTGGGGCCAAGGCAAGGACTCCTCGTCAAACGGATTCAAAATAAAGTGCTGCAAACGTTTTTTTCGTATTGTTTTTGGATAGAGAAAAAAACGTTGAACATTGCCTTTTGCATTGTGCTATTTATGACATCTTATTTCCCCGGGAGTCGTTTACTTAAACTGTTTGAAAGCTCTGTACGAATCCCACCGCATAAGCGCGCGCCGAGGACGCTGACCCGACCCAGCACTGGGAACGCCGCGAGAGTCGCAACACCGATAAAAACTCGTTGACTCGACGAAGATCGTTCATTCTATTTTTTTTCGCACTGGCTGATGCGGTGATAGCTGTTTGATTGCCTGCCCCCTACTCTTTCCAGCAGATTAGTTTGCAGTTGGCAAAAAGCGGTGCGCGCGTGAGAAGGTTTTCGCAGGGAGCGACGGAGGGGAGTTTGGTGCGTCGAAACCGTATGCGGCAAATTGCAATCCAATCGTTTCGTTTTGGTGGCTGGAGCAGAGAGAGCGAAAAAAAATCAAGAAAACAACTTTGCAACGCTTTGCAAGCCAGCCCTTTACCCTGTGCCGCCCGACCCCTCTATATAGGCTCTGGTTCTAAATTATCGCCAAGCTATAACACTGCTGCCGGCCATTTTTAAAAATTTATGGTCTATTGGGGTTTGGTGCAATCCTATTCTCGTAATAGGCTGGTCGGCCCGGGTACCCCCTCCCCTCCCCCTCGTGTTATCCCTTTAGCCGCGCCCTGACTCGCTTCCTGTTATTTTTTGCCATCCTCTTCCTTATGAGTTTCGCCACAGTCCCTCACACTGGCCGAAATCCCCTCGGCAGATAATTAAAGGCCACCCGTCGCTGGACGTGTGGGGGCGCGCACCCCGTCCTTAAGATCAACCTCTGCCGCTGCCCCTTTACTCACTTTCCCCTTTATTTGTTTCGACTCTCTCTTCACTTCTGTTCTCTTTTACTCTCTTTTCCCCTATCCCCGCCCTACATCTCTGTCTCGTTCAGGAATAACGCATTATCCCTGCCATGATCGCGCCGATATCTTTGAAATATCGCTCGCTTGTTTGTCGCGAGGGATTTGTCTTTTGTCGGGCCGCCCTCTTCATTTTCTTACGGATTGCCGTCATCCCCCCTTTCTCTTTACGCCCCTTCAGTCTGGCCTCTGGAGCAGCGTCGTGAGGTGAAAGGGGGGGGGGGGCTGGAATAAGGGCCGAGAGGACCGGTGGGAGCGGCCTTCAGCCGTATGAAGGCACCGTTAATTCTAGGCACGTGCAAGGAACGGGAGGAGGGAGGGGGTCAATCAACCTGCAGGGTGTGAGGGTGGGAGGGGGTGAGGGGAGGGGGCACCTCTGAAGCGAGCGCTGCGGTCTCATCTGATTGGAGCATGCAGAAGGCTAATGGGACCGCGCGCAAGCTGATGGACTGACCTTTCCAAGAACTAAATTCCGTTTCAAACTTTAACCGGGCTTACGCATTAATTATGTTTTTGCTTCCCTTGTTAGGTGCTAATTATTTGCCATCGATCCAAGAAAACCATCTTGGAACTTTGTCAGTATTTACAGTTGTTTCAGAGGTTTATTTTTATTTTTTATCGACCGTAATTACCGAGATGATCCCCTACATGTTTTCCGGTGATCACGGCGCAGGGCTGATAATGCTCGTCGCGCTTAACGCCCGCTTTGTCATCCGTTTTGCGGCTTTAGGTCCCTAACTCTGTGTTGCCCTCGGACTCTCACCACTAACTCTCTCCGTCCCTCTCTGCGTCTCTCTCTCTCTCTCTCTCTCTCTCTCTCTCTCTCTCTCTTTCAAATCATGTGCTACCCCACTGCGTCCGCCCAGTACGTTGAAATGAATGACTGAAGGATAATCCGTAGTCCCTTTCACTGAGCGGCTGCAGTATGAGCACCCCCCTCCTTTCCCTCTCTCTCTGTCTCACTCTACCCCGTTGGTCTCTCGCGCGAGCTGCTCATTCGCTTCATCAGCACCACCAGAGCCGTGCCTTTCCACGCTGGAAGTACAGTGCTTCCGCTAACTGAGATGAAGGAAACGGGTTGAAACAGGCCGTGCTTATTGATATTGCCGCTCTGTTTTACGGGAGGTACGCGATGCGCACGCGGAAGTCTGCCATAGGAGGGAAGCAGAGGAGGGTTTTCGATGAGTCGTTATTCCAATAATGTATTCCGTTTATATTAATCGCAATTAAACGCAATGTCGTTATTTGTATTCTTATTTCCTCAGGAGAAGGAGGTGACAGTAGTCCTGGAATAAAGTCAACGCCTTAGTTAGCTGTGTTTTCTTTCCAATTTCCTTTCCATTCTGAGCCTGCCTGTCAACATTTGGTGGTTCTTGTTTTCGGCAATGGCTGGATTAAACTGATTTAATCCAAAGGAGGTTCGATGAGAGAGCAGTTGTTTTTGATAAATCCTTTATTTCTTACATCTAATAGCACAATTTACTTTGGGGTTTTTAGTTAACATTACCACCGTACAACCACTCAGAAATCTAGACGTTCTACAAAGTGCTGCTGCAACCTCGTTACAAAACAGTAGGCGTATTCAGATCTCATTTGTGGCAAATACAACACAATCGCTTTGGCTGAGGCCGCGCAACATACAACTAATAGCTAGCTAACTTTTTTTTCATTTTTTGTTCATCAAAAAAATCGAAAAACAGGAAAGGTGAAGTCGACGCTAAACAAAATATTCTTTACGTTATTCTTTGAATTATATTTTCTCGTAGAAAAAACTTTTCTTTTCACTGGCGTCAGTCTTGAGATCACACACGCTGAACTCTCAAGATTCCTGCTGTGTTTGTTGTAAATGAGCGTTCAACGTCTTTACAAATCGGTTCAGTCCTGTCCGGTCCTGTCACACTCGAAACACTGGCAGTTTGGCACTTAGCGCACTACGGGTACTTGCTGGCAACTTTCTATATAGTCTGGCACTCGATTTCCACTTGGAGTTTGTATCCTTCAGAGATGGGTCTTCTCTATGTCAGCGTGGTAGCCGTTGCCTTCACGGTGGTCCCTGCGAAACATTAGCTATTAAGTCATAGAATCGAGTCAATCAGCCCAAAGTAACTGTAAAGTCTTTGATTTCGAACTGAAAGGCTTGAGCAGAGCAAAATAAAACAGTTCTTACTTGGCGAGGAGTTCCTGCGAGCCCCGGACGTCCCGGATGTACCGGAAGGAGCTCACGTTGTTGGTGCGGTGCCTGTTTAGGGACCCCGTCCGCCCCACCTCGGACACGACTGCAACAGAGAAACAACAACAGTCTTAGACGAAGCAAAAACAAACTACAGCAGCAACTTTTTTGATGGGCGTTCGGGTCGAAGGGGATGAGGGTGAAAGTTTTATTCGCGATGTTATTTTGGGCTTACAACGGCCCTTCTGGGAAATGACAGACATAAACACTTTCCCTCTCGACGGGACCATTTCACGAAATGCCAGGCCCATCTCCTCCCCCAAATCTTTCCTGGACACCGCCTGCAGGCCCCGACGGGCGGAAGGACTGGGCCGCAGGGTGCGGGGAACCACAGGGGACCTTTACTCGATCGTGGTCCCGAACCTGACCTGAAGGTCACCGTTCGTGCATGTTCGTCCACCCACTTCCTTTCCCACACATCAAATAGGCACTCTCAATCCATAAAAGCTTATTCGCGACGCGACCAGAAGCCGCCAACCACCACCACCACCACCCCCGTGGCCGAGGCTGACGAAAACGCATAAAGGGGAGACAGGCTGTGATAAATCACTTCACCGCCATTGTTCTCGTTGTGAAAGAGGAGGCCGGGGGACGTGACCGATCTCCCTGGTCTGACGCGGATCGCTCCACGAGCAGCCCCGACACCTCCCGGAACTGGAGCCTGCCTGAGCGGAGCGGGGGTGTTGCGAGGTGGGGTGGCCGTCGCCGCCTTGCACCGCCAGCGACTGCGTGCACTCTAGGGCGGTGAAGTCTGAGCAGTCGTAACGGGTTGAGTTTGGTTGTGGTGCAAACAACACGAGAAACGCAAGTAATGTCGCTCACTCCCCGCTGGGCATGAAAGTGTACTCTATGCTCAGGGAAGAGCTCTCTGAGCACCCTATGAAGCGCACTCATCCCTGTAGTGGACGGTCGCACGTACGACGGCAACGGTGTGCCCCAACACACCAAAGAGACCGTTGATGACAAAAGTTTCCGAACACGTAGAAACAATAAATTCTGCTCTTGTTCCGACAGTCTCTGGACTGGGTATAAACTCGTCGTGTTGTAGATCTGCCCGTACCTGTTTGGTAGAGAAGCCCTATCATATCCTTTTGCCCCAGTTTCTTTGGGTCTCTTCCGGCCGTCATTACCACCTCATTATAATCAGAGAGGTGAAAGGCGCGCCCTCTGACCGCCGCGTGCGTAACGAGCAGAAATATGGAAGTCTAACGAGACGAGACGGGGTGGGCGAGGCCTGCCGGCTGCCGCTGGCTGGCTCATCAGGGTGTTGCTTATCAAAAAATAAAATGGGATGAAATGGAACTTGAAAAATGTGTGCACTGTATTTTCATTATTAGGTTTGAAAGTTGCGGAGCTATAAATCTTTGTAACGTAGTTTTCTGCCGGCGCGTATCAATTGCCCCTGAACTGAACCCTGAAGTTGTTGTTGATGTTACTGCATCGTGGCCGTGACCCTGAATCTACGACCGGAATTTACCACCGCCAGCCCCCCTATTGCTGCTCTCTTTCCTGGCGGAGGCAATTTCTTGTGTAGCGACGGCGGCGGTGAAGAAGATTTGGTTCAGGCCAAATCCCCTGGAGGCGGCCCCCGAGCCCCCCGAGCCCCGCCGGGCTGGTCGGACGGGGCCGTTCTGTTCCCCCGGACACAGATTGGCGGAGGGAAGCTCCCTCTGTCCCAACTTTGTTCTATGAGGGGCTGAAGGCTGTCCGGGTGCGCACCGGTGCGGTGGCGGTGGCGGAGGTAGATTTCTTCGATAGCATCCCTATTCCCATGCAGGTCAGAGGGATGCCTGCTGGCCTCAGCCTCCCCCGACCTTCGCCCTAAACCTTCTTCTTCTTCTCCTCGGCGGCCTCGTTTCTGACCTTCTCCCTTACCTCCCCCCCCCCCCTCCACGACCTCTGTAGCGTTACGCAATCCTTGTCGGCGCTCGGGGGCCTGGGCGTTGAAGCGCCTTTTGCTCGGAGCGTCCCTTCCCTTTGCTGTCCTCGTTGCACAACCTGCTCGTCGTACTCACCCGTCAGCATGGTGGCGTCGGTGCGCCGCGTCCGCAGCCCGCACATGCCGAAGAGCGCGCGCCGGAAGTTCTGGCCCGACACGCAGTAGAGCACGAAGTTGATGCCGAAGTTGGCGTCGAACAGCACGTTGAAGTAGTGCTGCAGAATGACGATGGTGTGCGAGCCCTCGTCTTGGTGCGTTGTCTGCGGAAAACAAAGCATGGGGGGGATGATGAGCATGGTGAGGGAGGCATGGTGCGAGGAGGACGAGCAGCTCGGTGAGCGGCGGGTCCAGCACACGACATGACATGAGCCAGACGGAGAGGCCCACCCGCCTCGCTCTGGGCCGCCTCGATGTCTCGGAGAAAATAACAAGCTGACGGAGAATCAGGTTAGCTGCGCGGCTAACCAAATTTACGCCACGCCGCGCCACGTCTGGTCCTCCGCGCGCCGCCACGCTGTGCCACTCCATGGCCGGTCGACAGCTGCGCCCGCTGCGCCCTGCCTCTCCCCTTCCCTCCCCTTCCCTCCCCGTCCCTTCCATCAGGCTGGGGTTGCGCATCACTGGCATCACTAACCACCACAAGGGCTCACCCCCCCACC